GTGCTCCAACCTAAGGTAGTTTTTTTTTCCATTGTGCTTCTCGTAGCTATCTTAGCGACGTGGATCGTATCGCTACCCCAGGATATCTACCAACTCAGCAAGATGTGCTACGGGTTAGAGTTCCTACAACCGGTATCATAGAGTACCCCTTTGACCTAGAGAATATTATCTTCAGGTACTGAAGGTGTATTCATGTTACAGCTGAACTGAGAGAGGAGTGATATGATTTCAGGAGGGATGAGTTCTGGATTGCTTTAGAGTGTCCAGGCGCATATTTGAGAGGCTTGAGTGGATGTATGTGCTGTGATGTTATGAAGTATCTGCTGACAGGTGCTCCTGTAATGGTGATGGTGTAACGTTTTATTCTGATTAAGGGAAAACGCCAAGCTGAAGCATTGGCTGTCACAAGACAGAACGTGCATTTGAATAGGTGACACTTAAAGCCCAGCTAACCATCTTGCAGGACCTGGTGTCCTTCCTGGGAGGGATTGCATTGCTGGCATCTGAGGCTGAAGTGGTGGCTTGTGAGGCAGCTGAGTGAACTGTTGGTAGCTAAGCCACCAAGGGGAGGAAGGGGAAGCTTGGTCTGGGCAGTGCTTGACTTGAAATGTATTTCCCTTTAAGAATGCTTAGCTGAAGCAACATTGACCATTTATTTCTCCTTCAAAAAGAGACTGCTTTTTGTGCAGAAATACTTCCTTGTATGTGATACCTCGCATCTGCCTTCAGAGATGGCTTTCTGTGCCTACCTTGTGCTCTCAGGATCACACCAAAACTTGTTGCCTGTGCTGCTGCAGCAATAGATGGTATTTGGAGGCTTAAGCCAGCAATCGAGCATGGCATAAAGGGCACAATGACGTACCTGTGTATTGCAAAGCAATTTTCTCCCTAGCTCTCTTGTACTTGCGTGATCCCTGCCCTTCTCTGCTGCGGTGCTGACATTACAAGAGAGGAGTCCTCTCTCTTAAACCATTCAGTTACAGATATACAGAAACTTACTCTCCCTGTTCTGGTTTGCTGACCTATGAAGTAAGGATAGGGTTTTTATCAAAGGTGGACCGTGTGTGTTGCACTTGAGGTGAGTGACAAAATAATTTTAGTGTAGTGTACAGGTGGACTTGAAACTGAGAAGCTGAGGTGCATATCTGTTAAACAGCACATTCTAAGAGAAGTTTAATAACTAAAGAATGCTCTGCGCAGGAGAAGTTTTGGGGCCAGCATATGCTTTAATAAAAAATAAAAATAGTTTGCTGATTTGACAAAGCAGAGTTTTGAAGGACTTGTCTGTTCAGAAGCACGTTATTACATCCCTGTGCCAGGTTAACTCGCATGGTAAAGAACCACATTTGTTGTTCTTGTGTGATGGTCCTTTGCATTCAGATAGAGAACTGCAGCTGCTTCTGTGATACTGTATGTATTTCTCTTCCTTAGAATGGTCGATGTTGGAGGTCAAAGATCAGAACGAAGGAAGTGGATCCATTGCTTTGAAAATGTGACTTCCATCATGTTTTTAGTAGCACTTAGTGAATATGACCAAGTTCTGGTGGAATCTGATAATGAGGTAAGCCAAAGAATGGGAACTCTGCAGGAGGGTGGAAGGAAAGGAGGAATATCTTTTGAGCTTCTTGGAGGCTGATACCAAAGTGCTTGGTGCCATGTTGCGTTAGCAGGTCTTGTTGGTTTGGGCCTTCAGTTCTTCCTATTGCAAAGGAAACGTGAGCCTCAGTGGGTCATGGTGTCCCTGGGAATGGAAAATGCACAGTGCATTCAAATCACCTGTCCTTCTCAAGTAATACTGAAATACTCTGAAATTGAAATTGCTGAGTTCTGTGTGCCTTGGAAGGTACTGTGCAAGGTACATGTGGCAGCATGCTCTTAAAAATCACCCATTCCTCTTTTCCGCACTGAAGTACTTCGTGCTGTGACTGCTGTCTTGTTAGGTAGCGACTAGTCTCTTTGAAGGTGCAATACTGAATTTTTGCACTTGCTGATAGATTAAAATAAATGCCATTCAGTAACAGCAGTTATTCCTTTTATATTAGACAAAACATGTTCACAAAGTATTGTGGCCAGTCCTCTCACATGACTGTCAAAGCATTAAATGATTTTAAGCCCTTTGGCTTGCCAATTAAATGAAGCTTGCATTTCCTTTCCATTTACCAGTGCGTGAGCCAGAACCTACCTGGGGCCAAAGTATTCTGTGTACAGTATCTGAGATGCTGGATTGATACATGTCTGAGCCCATGTGTAGGCAGCAGAAAAGGCATCTTAGTGCTCATTTGTGAAAACAGGACTTTTCTTTTTCTTATTTCAGAACCGGATGGAAGAGAGTAAAGCTCTCTTTCGAACCATTATCACTTATCCATGGTTCCAAAACTCTTCTGTTATCCTCTTTCTCAACAAGAAAGATCTGTTGGAAGACAAGATCCTATATTCCCACCTTGTTGACTATTTCCCAGAGTTTGATGGTGAGTGGTTTTTAAGGAGGAACACTCTATATCTAGAAGAAGGGGGGGAGGTTGGTTTGGTTAGAATTTTTTTGTTTTTTAAAGAAAATCTAGATCTAGAGATGGGGAAAACATCTTAATTTGAGAAGGAATACCTACAACAGTGAGAAAATGTCGTGAAAATGTCGCAAAAATATCTTAATCATATGTAGACAACTAGAATCTGATCAAATAATGAACCTCTCCTACATGAAGAATTACTCTTCCCCACCCCCCAATATGCACTTCAAAGTATTAAATAATGGAAGTCTTAACTTTCTTACCTGTATGCTTGTGCATGTAACCCATTTCATAAACATGTGACAATTTGCTGGTATACTTGGCATTTTAACCCTCTAGTCAAGAGGTGACTTGAGTCCTTGTTTTGACAAACTGGTCAAATACCAAGTTGTTCAAATGATGGTACTGAAAAATCTCAGGTAGCCTTACAATCTTACTAATCTGCAGTTGTGTTTAAAAAAAAAAGAAAAAAAAAACAACTATGTGAAACAGAGAAATTGCCATCTGAAAGAAAAGTCCTTAGCCAAAATAGCATTTTGAGCTCTTCAGTTGAGTGCATTTAAAGTTGTCTGGTAACACATCTGTCCAGGGCTGAAAATAAATAAAAGTAGTGGAGAATGAGATCGGGCAACACACTTCCTGCCATGCTGTCATGTATTAACTCTGTCATTATGTGCTTTAAAAATACAAGGTAAAGGAAGGATTGCCATTTTGCAGACAGCTTTCATCTTTCAAACGACTAATGAAATTGCTCCTTATTAGTTGTCCTCCTGCTTCTGGAGTTTTGTGCCCCCTGCTGTCTGAAAGCACAGACACCCTGAAAGCATCAGGGATGGAAAACAGCATGTTTTTCCAGCAGGCTGGGGATAGCTGGTGAGCTTGTTGGTCAAATAGTGCATACTTTTAATATAACTTAACAGCTGGAGACAAGATCACAACATCAGGAAGCGTCATATACTTTCAGGTTTTTTCATATATTTACTGTAGCTCCTCTGGGGATGCTGCTTGGCTCGGGTGAGAGGTAGCCCATCAGACCACCTCTCAAGAGATGGTCCTTGCCACGGAGGATGCGACAACACCAGTACCGTGAAAGAAATATCAATAAGGTGACACTTTTTCTGAGGAGTTGTCAGCAATATGAAGTAAATACTGGCAAAAATTCCAGTTTTTAGCTACTGTGAGTTGACCAGCCAGTTAGGACAGACTGCAGTTTTAGCTGAAGATGACCCTTGTTTGCGAAACGTAGGCTTGTGTCCTTCAGTGCGCAAGTTCCGTGTATATATTAGGAAGAAATACACATGCTGTCTCCAGAGGAGAGCGTTGTGTTGTGTATATCCAGCCTCTGTCACTGTTACCTAGTGAATGCAGCACAGGGTCATACCAAACGCTGTATTTCAGAGCATGGCCTGAAATGATGTCTTGGTGTCTGTCAAAGCTCTCAGCCTTGGAAGAATGCCTTTTGTAGGTTTTGGTTAGATAACTGAAAAGCATGAGACACTTCAGCTCCTGGGACTTTTATGCAATCTTAATTTCTTCTTTATAGCTCTGTAACCTGTAAGAAGCAGTACAAAGCAGTTACTCTGATGGATCAAGCTGGGGGATGCGCTTAGTGTAAATCCGTTAACCGGTTCCTTTGTTTGCTGCAGGCCCACAGAGGGATGCGCAGGCAGCCCGTGAGTTCATTCTCAAGATGTTTGTGGATTTAAATCCCGACAGCGATAAAATCATCTATTCTCACTTCACATGTGCCACAGACACAGAAAACATCCGTTTCGTCTTTGCGGCTGTCAAGGACACCATCCTACAGCTCAACCTGAAGGAGTACAACCTGGTTTGACCTGCTCTGCTCTTGGCCCCTTGAGAGGCTTCATTGTGAAGAAAAGACAAAAAAAGAAATTTTAAATATGACAGGAAAAAAGTTTTCATTTTTGATGATGTAATGATTGCAAATTGTCTGATCTGTGGAGTGGCAAGTGCTCAGTGTTATCCTGGAGTCTCATGTCTCTGTCCACAGAGTAGTTGATTTCATATTTTTAACAAATTGCTTTTATTTCACAGTTAACGGGGATATGCCTCATTTCTCAGCACCTTGCTTACTACTTAGTTTTTGCCAAACCGCTAAGGCAGTCTCATCTTCAGCTTTCCTTTGTTGCTTAGCCACTTTTTTTTTTCCCTTTTCATTCCCATGGTATATATAGAAAAAAAAAAACCCACTTTCCAGCTGAGATTGTGAATTCACTGGACTGTGGGAGTGCAGAATGCTACTGGTCCCTTTGCCTTGTGGTATAGGGTGCCTCTGGTGTAATTTGCTAGTCCTGCTTGCTTTGCCCCGCCCCCCCTTTCCCTTCCCCGGGACACGCTCCATGGTTCACTGTGATGAAACGTTGGGGAGGAGCGATTGCTCTCCAACTGTTGTGCAAAAAAAGAAAAAGGCAAAACAAACAAAAAAAAAAGCCATCACTTTTCCATTCTTTATATGTTCTAGTTCTGAGTTATTTTTTTCTTATCAATTATAAAAGGTATGGAGACTGTGATTTTTTTTTTTTTTTTTAAATTATTGATGTTCTATACATAGTTTGCTACGTGTTGCTGTATTTTGTTCATGGACTACAAACGATGGAAGCTCTTGGAGCAATAGCTGCTGAGCCTGGGGAAGTGCCTGACTGTAATTGTTCTTTTTTATTTTATTTTGGTTCTAGTTTCTTCGCACATGTACACACATCACCCCACACCACAAGCGCATGTGCGCGCACAAGGCTCAATTTGCAGAGAGAAACTGTTTTGTTGAGTAGAGTATATGACATCAAGTGAGCAACTTCTCTATGCAGCAGATATCAAAAGCACACTGAGTACTTGTGGCATTTAAACATCGGACTTTGGCTGGATTGAAAATCTCAGTCTCGTGCCACTCTCTAGTTCTTTTCTTGCTGCTAGTAGCAAACAAGCCTTGTTTATTGCATTTCGTGCCAGTGTGTTGAATGACTTTGTAAGAATTCCTTAGTCCCGTCCAGCTTGCAGATTTTTAGAAAGGACCAGAGTTGGTGGGTGACAAACTTTGGGACGTAGGTAGGATTCTTACCTGAAAAGATTGAGGATCGCTCTTGGAGGGAGTGGCAATTCTGTCTCTCCTGTTTATGCATTCCCCTGAGGCACATGCTGCTGTGTTTCTCTTTAGAGGAGTGTGGATCCTCTTTGGAAGACTTGCACACATAACTTGCTCCAGGGTGCATGTGATAATCAAGTTACAGTAGTCATGGCTGGAGCACGCGGCTGCTATGGAATCCAGAGAGCCCTGCTGTGGTTGCA